ACACACTCACTCACTCATTCACTCACACACACACTCACTCACACACACACACACACACACCCACTCACTCACTCACTCACTCACTCTCACGCACACACACTCACACACACACACATACACTCACACTCACACACACACACACACATACAAACACACACACACACACACACACTCACTCACACACACACACATACACTCACACTCACACACACACACACACATACAAACACACACACACACACACACACTCACTCACACACACACACACACACACACACAATGTTTCTTCATTCCGTTGTGTTTGTCACGTCTGACTGATTCGTGCGTCTCTGCAGTAAATATGAACGCTGATCTTTTATTCCTCAGCTCATTCTGTCGGTGTCTGTATTTCAGCTGCTGGCGCCGCAGGCGTGAGACTCTGTAGACGAGAGCGTGTGATCAGTTTCATGTCTTCATCAATACTCATATCAGACCAACCGCAAACAACATCAAACTCACACACTATACATCTGATTTATTATTATTATTATTATGATTATCTGCACTCAGTGTGAACAAGATGCTGTTGTTTATAAAAGGGCATCTACCATTTTTTTTTTTTATGACTATTGTCTTTTTATAGATTTATTTGACTATATGTAATTTATTTTAAAAATAAGTAGAAAGTATTTAGAAAGTATAAAGCAGTCTATATCTGGCAAAAAAAAAAAGTTAACTGAATGCAATAACTTCTGGTCTTTTTGAAATGTACACTACACAGTTTACACTATGACTAACATGTAAATTAATATAAATATACAGTTGGCAGATGCTTTTATCCATATGATTTATAGTGCACACAAGCTGTAGATTTTCTTTGGTTCATGCATTGGCGAGGAATCAAACTACTGATCTCAGCGCTGCTAGAATCATGAATTACAGTTTGATATACAGAAATTATTTTATTTATTGATTGATATTAAATTATAGAAGTGAATCACAGTGGTGCTATATTTATTTCGCTGCACAAAAAGACTCTGGAGGACTCTTGAGAGATGATTCACATGAATCGCTGAGTCCTTCCAGCATTAGATGGAGAGAGGATCATTCAGGAGAACGTGCTGACATTCTCAGTTATTTCTGTTTTAAAGACACGAGCTGATAAAAACAGCAATGTGACATTTTGTTTTGAAAAAAAAGAAAAGAAAGAAGATACAGTTAGTGCACATGTAAAAGATTTTGAAAACTGTCACACTGCTAATAATTATTTTCATATTCAGATTTTTGTCTTGTTTTCCAGCACAAACATCTAAACATTCTTAAATCAAGTTACATTTACTGGAGATGCGAAATGACTTGTTTTCTGAGAAATGCATCAAAAATTTGTGAGTTTTTGCTGAAAACAAGAAAAAAATCTGTCAGGTGGGTCAGAAAAATACTTTTTTTTTTCTTTTTGAATTAAGTTTTAATTTTTCTGGCCCCACTGGCAGATATGATAAACTCATTTCATTTGGATTAACTTTTCAGAAAACAGTATTAATATCTTAAAGCGATAGTTCTGCCAAACATGAACATGTGCTGAAAATGTGCTCACCCTCAGTTCATCCCAGATCAGGATGAGTTTGTTTCTTCATCAGGTTTGTAGAAATGCAGCATTGCATCAGTGTCTCAGCAATGGATGCTCTGCAGTGAATGGGTGCCGTCAGAATGAGAGTCCAAACAGCTGATAAAAACATCACAATAATCCACAGCACTCCAGTCCATCAGTTAACATCTGGAGAAGACAAAAGATGAAACAAATCCAGCATTAAGATGTTTTTAACTCAAATACCATAGAGTCCATAATCCATAATAACGCTTCCTCCAGTGAAAAAGTGTTCTGGTCTGAATCAGGAGAGAAATCTGCACAGATCAAGCAGCGTTTAAACAGCTCTAAACTAATATGTGGCTGGATTTTGATGTGAGAGACAACAGCAGATGCACTTTTTCACTGGAGGAAGCGTTATTATGGATTATAGACTCTTGGTTTGGAGTTTAAACGGCTGATGTTTTACTGTAATTCCACTGTTATTCATGTTAAATGTCCTGTCTGTTCTCTCAGAGCCGCCGGTTCCCATCGCTCCTCCTCAGCTCATGGCGGTCGGGGCCACATATCTCTGGATCCAGCTCAATGCAAACTCCATCAACGGAGACGGGCCCATCATCAACCGCGAGGTGGAGTACCGCACCATCTCCGGCACCATGTACGACCTGCAGCCCGTCGATAAAACCTCGCACAAGATCGGCCATCTTGACCCCGACACGGAGTACGAGATCAGCGTGCTGCTGACGCGGCCCCTGGAGGGAGGAACCGGGGCCCCGGGGCCACCGCTGAGAGCCCGCACCAAATGCGCAGGTAACCGCGATCATCTTGGATGTTGTTTCTGATAAATGCTGATATAACCGAAGAAAGAAGAAACTCTGTGTAGGATTTTAAAGGGACAGTTCTGTCATCATGTACTCTCCCTAATGTCACTCCAAACCTCTATGAGTTTCTTTCTTCTGTGGAACATAAAATAAGTTATTTAGAAAAATGTTGGGAACCAAACAGTTTCAGTTCCCGTTGTGTTTTTGTCCATATAATGGAAGTCAATGGGAGCCGAAACCGTTTGAGAACCAACATTCTTCAAATACAGGTTTGGAACAACATAAAAACGAGTAAATGATGATAATTGTTGGGTGAGCTGTCCCTTTAAGACTTGTTTTCCCAGCCTGTATCTTGAATATGAGTGTATTTAGATATATGATGTTGAGTGTGTTTGAGTTTAGTGGAGAAGAGATGTGGCTCGCGGCGGCGTACTGTCTTACCTGACGTGTGTGTGTGTGTGTGTGTGTGCGTGTGCGTGTGCGTGTGTGTGTGTGTGAGTGAGTGTGTGTATGTGAGTGTGTGTGTGTGTATGTATGTGTGTGTGAGTGTGTGTGTGTGAGAGAG